TGGCTCCGTTGGCCTCTGCACCTCGAACTTGCCTGCAGAGTTGCTGAGGTGGAATCACTGTGTCTCCAGCTTCACCCACCTGGGGACTTGTAAGAACCAGTTACGCGGTGGCTCAGGCCTCTAATCCCAACACTATGGGAGGCCGTGGCGGGATGATCGCTTGAGCCTAGAAGTTTGAAGCTGTAGTGAGCTGTCATCTCGCCACTATAGCCTGGGCAACAGAGTGAGAGCCCGACACACACACACACACACACACACACACACACACACAAAGAAAAGAACCCACTTAGATTAAAACCCTGCATTGTAATGGCCCAGAGGCCCCTGTAGCTTGGGGTCCCAAAGAAGCACCCCATTTGTACCCCAGGCTGGTACGTCTGCTGCCAGCTCGTCTGGTTCATGATTCGACAAGGCAGGGCTAGTTGCCACCACTCGCAAACCTCTGTCCTCCTGAGTCGGAAACCCTAAGGTTCAATGAGCTTGAGCCAGTTGCTCAGAAGACACAGCTTCCCCACCAGTCGGGTTCTTCCCCTCCTGCTCTGGCACACCCCTCGCCCCAGCCTCTGAAAGGAAGTTTTGCAAATGCCACTGTGGTGGCACCCACGGTGAAATACCGTCATTCCCCAGCAGCCAGCCCCAGCTCAGAGCTGTGTGGGTCCCACGCAGAGTGGGGGACAATGGCCTTCTCCCAGCCCAAGGTGGTCTTCAGCGCTAGACCCTCCAGCTGGGGCAAGTTTTCCAGCAGCATCCTTAGGCAAGACCCATTGTATCCCTTGCAGCCTCAGTTTCCTCTTCTCCACATGAGCAGATCAATCAAGACAGACTCCCAGTGCCTTCCTGAGCATGTGAGTCTCAGGCAGCAGGAGGAAAGTTTCTTCTACTTGTAGAAAAGAAGAAAAACAAGAAACAAGGGAAAACTCGGGCCAATCAGCTGGCCACAGGCGTGGTTTTGCTTGTTGGAGCCGGGTCTTAGCTGCAGCCAAGCTGGCCCTGCTCTTCCAGGGGGTGGGGCAATCTCCTGCACACCAGGCCCGGATGCCCTGGGGCACAGCCAGCCCCGGCAAAGGGACCACAGCCCCAGGGGAATGGCCTCCCTCATCACCAAGGCCACCTGCCCGGTGGCTCAGCATGTGGGGCACAACTGTCCTTGCACTTGGGAGCCACAGACTATGAAGGCATCCAGGAAGCTCTAGCAACACAGCGTTAGGCAGGTCCCTTCACCTGGCTTACCCCAGAGTTCTCATCTGTACAGGGAACACTAGCACCTTCCTCAGAGAACTGGCAAGGCAGAAGGTGAGCCTGCTGGGTGGGCACAGGGGGTCCTGGAGGAAAAGGGTCGCAAGTTCATGCTCACTGGGTGAGCAGCTGGCTTGGCACCCTGTAGATGCTGAACCCAGGTCACTGCCCGTGGTGGGCTCCCAGCACCTGACAGTCCAGAGACTCAGGAAAGGCTGTCCGTCCTGCCCCCACTCCTGCGGCTCCTGCAGTCCAGTGTTCAAGCCCGCCTGGCCTCCCTGTTGGTGAAAGCAGCAGCGTGGGAGCCCACGGTCAGCAGGAAGCCCAGCTCCAGCACACGCACCCTCTCCCAGGGCCTCACCGCCTGTCTTCTCGCGGTCCGGGAAAGGAAGGGTGGAAGGCACTGCCTATCTCACTGGCACGTGCACATCAGACCAGGCGGCCCTGTGTCTCTCCTAAGCCCTGGAGCTTGCTGGCCTTGCAGTCTTTTCCGGAAAATCCCAGAAGCAGTGAGGAGACCTGAGGCCTCCCTGCCTGTCCCCTCCCTCCCTCCTTCCCTCTCTCTCTCCTTCCTCCCCTGAACACACATCACTTGGTCCTGTCCTGTGGTGGGAGTTGGGGACACAGAGCTACCTGAGATGCAGAGTGCCTACTGCAGGAGCTCCTTTGTGCCAGGAGGGAGAATCGAGCACAGCAGAAAGGGCGAGTGACAGAGTAGGGGACCGAGCGCAGGGGCAGCGTTTGCCTGATGCCGAGAAGGAAGGGGTCCAGGTTGGGGGCTGGGGCAGGATGATGCCCAGGGGGGTCTCTGGCTTGGCTGCTTGGGTGCTGCTGAGACCTGCACTTAAGTAACAAGGGAGGCGGGGGGTGTGTGGGAAGTTGGGAGGTGAGTTTGGGTTTGGAAGTGGTGCCTCCCCGTGGAGTTGGACATTCAGGTCCAGAGCTCAGAATGAAGGGTAGACCGCTTGTTCACCTGCGGGTTGGCCACATGGCGCCCCCAGCACTGTGCCTGGTTAGGATCAGCCCTCAGGAGTGTGCACGACCAGCTTCATTCTCTCCCTCCACGAGGACCCTTTCAGTCAGGGTCGCATCCAGCCTGGCCAGCAGCTCATAGGCCTGGCATGCCCAGCAACGCCCCAGTCCTGCCCAGCTCCAGGCCTGCAGGGAGCACCGCCCAGTGACGCTGGGAGGCAGGCCCCCTACCCTGCCTGGGCAGCTGCCCACCCTGCCAGCATCCCTCCCCATCGGCCTGTGCCTAACCGTGCCACCCAGTGCCTAACCGTGCCACCCAGGAGAGCCACCAGACAAATCCATTAGTTCAGCCACCCCGACGCAGGCAAATGTCCTCATCTGGCTTCAGTTACCCAGACGGAGAACTTCCTGGTCGCACCAGTGGTGCCCATCAGGAAAGCACAGTGCTGCCTTGCCTTGGATCTAGCAGTCTGGCTTCTTCCCCCACTCATGGCCCCTTTCCTGCTGCTGGGGCCCGGAGCCAGCAGCTTCACTGAGCTGAGCACAACCTGAGGCCTGGCAAGAGCCCTGAAGCTTTGTGGGTGGCCACTGGGCCTTCTTCCTCCTACAGCCAGAGGAACACGGTGCTGCGTGTCCTGAGGGGTTCCCATTCCCACACATCGCTCTCATTGAAAACAGGCCAAGAGAGGAGGAAAGGCCCCCCCCCCCGAGGGTGCTGACCTGCCCCCCAAACCTGGGGCTTAGTTAATACCCAGGGCCAGTCATCCGGTGTGACTGGCTCCGGAAGTTCCCAGGCACCATCAGCCCCGCACAGGCCACTCACTGGGGAGGAGATCAAGGCAGGTGTTTCGGCCACAACGGGTCTGAGATGCTGGTGGGACAAGCACGTGGAGATAGGAAGGTAATTGGCCGTACAGTGTGGGTGTCGCAGGCCTCGGCCGAGAGCGTGGGCCTGGAGATGCCTCATAAGCTATAAACCCACACAGTATAAGGAGCTGTTGTCTGTTCTGGGGGTCCCGGAATCCTGGCCTTGCCAGCTCCACACAGCCCCTGGCAATTCCAGCATAAACCCCAAATTCAGGGTCTGTGTCCAGGATGGGAGAAACCAAGGGCTACGTCCCTGGCATGCGTTTTTGCCCTTAAAACACAGGGAAGCAAGAAGTAACATGTTTTTCGTTTTTAAATTTGGTTTAACCGTCCTCACCTCAAGTCTCCGGTCCATGAAGCTGGCAAGAAATTCAGTCTCGCCTGAGCCCTGGGCCTGCGAAGCTTTTGGCGTGTAGCGTAGCTCGGAGGCCCCTCTCCACCTGAAGGGATCTCTTCTCTCTCACTGTTTCTCAGAGACTGGCCCTCCCTCCTCCCCTTCCCTTAACAAAAGTCGGGAAACACCTCCCACGAGACACACAGACACCAACCTGCATACACAGACACACACACTCACATGCACACAGACACAAACCTACATACACAGACACACACACAGAAACAGCGACACACACACTCACATGCACACAGACACACACAGAAACACACACACACAGACACTCCCATGCACACAGACACAAACCTACATACACAGACACACACACATACTCACATGCACACAGATACAAACCTACATACACAGACACATACAGAAACACAGAGACATACACTCACATGCACACAGACACTCATAGAGACACACACAGACACACATGCACAGACACACACACTCATTTTTCCATCCTGCCACAGGCGCGATCGGGGCCAGTCTCCTGCATGCCCTTCATGGTTGTTCTGGAAACTCGAGGGGGTTTGAGGTTGGCTTTTGCAGGAAAGGGCAGTGCCTTGTCATAGGGTCACAGCCTGTCCCACTGTTGCCTCCAGGCCCAGCCCAGAGCCTGGCATGCAGTGGGTGAGCAAGATGTATCAAATGCCATTTACACATTGCAATCTTGTACCTGCACCCAACTTCACTGAAACAGGGGCGAGAAGGGGCGCCAGGAATGATGGCAGTGAGCGCCACAGAGGTGAGGGGAGGGAGAGGGAGGCCTCAGACCTCTGCTGCCACGGCCAGAGCCAAAACGCCTCCTTCAGCGTTGAGATCACTCTGGTCTCAGGGCCTGACGTGGGCAAAAGGCTAGAGGCGGAGGTCGCGGGGTCTGCACCATAAATTCAGAAGGGCTTACAGTGCGCGGATGGAGGACAGACGTGCACGGGAAGCCCCAAAGGCGGCTGAGCAGCTCCCTGGCTCTGGGGAAGGAGGAGCTGGAGGTCCCAGCGAGGGGCGGAGGACTGCGGGCGGATTGCGTAGCGCCTGTGGTGACCGAATTTCAGCGCTGCACAGCCGCAATGGCCTCTTTGTTGTGTTGGCTTTGTTGTTTTACTTTAGTGAATGTTCAGAAGCATTTCTCGGGGCTTTCCTAAGATACCCCGCCCTTACTTTCCTCCTAAGTCTGAAGTTTCTCAGCTGCAAACACGTCTGCCTCAGGAGCATCCCGTGGGAATCTTTGTGATTGAGGGAGGGCTTAGGAACGACCAAGTGAACCAATGATTAAGTAACAGAATGGGTGCGTGGGGCATGAGGGACGCAGCCAGCTCAGGAGGGGGGTTGGCGGAACAGGTGAGATAGTGGCAGAAGGAAGGGATTTCTCCCCACGCATCTCCCCTCTGCAGCCAGCAGACCCCCTAGGGCAGGCCACTGGCAGAAAGCTGTTGCGAGCAGGCAGGTGGGTGGACGGGGCGTGCCCCACGCAGCCAAGTCCCCTGGCTTCCGTTCTCAGTGAACGCATTCTTGTTTTCCTGTCTAGGCCCCCCTGGACGGCGCGGCAAGCCTGGGAGAAGAGGCGACCCTGGTGAGTCCCAGCTTTTCTCATCACCTGAGTCAAGGCTTGGAAGCCACCATGGCCCCAGGCTCTGGCTGCACGGCCTGACCACCTGCTCCCCACCCTGATTCATGCCTTGGCCCTGGGCAGGTGCTCCTCCCCCTTCCAAGTCCAGCCGCTGTTCCCTGAGGCCACAGCACCCACTACTGCCTTTCCCGGGCTTCTTGGCATTCACAGTTCCAGGACTGTCGCCTCTCCCCCAGCCATCCCCTGAATCTCATTGTTGGCCTTGAACACTTTGGCCCCTAGTCTCCCACTCCAGAGCAGCCCCCTTCTCTGAGGCAGAAGGTGATGACTCTGCCAGCCACGACCTCCCCCATGGGTCCTTCAGCACAACCTGGTTCTTCTGTGGGGTTCATCCCTCCCCAGATGTGGCCTGTCCTTCCTTGGCAGAGCTCCAGGAGGAGACTCCCCCACCTCCCTTCCCTGCAGTCTGCAGAGGCACCTGTATTCGCCACCCTTCCTTCCTGCTGTCTCTGCTTCACCCAGAACCCCCCCGCCCGTCCCCATCACCCAGAACCCCCCCCGCCCGTCCCCATCACCCAGAACCCCCCCGCCCGTCCCCATCACCCAGAACACCCGCCACCCGTCCCCATCACCCAGAACCCCCACCCCCGCCCCCATCACCCAGAACTCCCCGCCCGCCCCCATCACCCAGAACTCCCCCCCCTGCCCCGTCCCCATCACCCAGAACTCCCCCCCCGCCCCGTCCCCATCACCCAGAACTCCCCCGCCCACCCCCATCACCCAGGGAACTCCCCCCGCCCGCCCCCATCACCCAGAACTACCCCCCGCCCGCCCCCATCACCCAGAACACCCCAGCCGTCCCATCACCCAGAACACCGCCCGTCCCCATCACCCAGCGAAACCCCCCACCCGTCCCCATCACCCAGAAGCCCCACCCGTCCCCATCACCCCAGAGACACCCGCCCGCCCCCCATCACCCAGAACTCCCCCCGCCCGCCCCCACCAGACTCCCCACTGCCCGTCCCATCACCCAGAACTCCCCCGCCGTCCCATCACCCAGAACCCCCCGCCCGTCCCCATCACCCCGTTCCCCCCGTCCCCATCACCCCAGAACCCCCCGCCCGTCCCCATCACCCAGAACCCCCCCCGCCCGCCCCCATCCCCCAGAACCCCCCCACATGCCCCATCACCCCCAGAACCCCCCCGCCCACGCCCCATCACCCAGAGACTCCCCCACCCGTCCCCATCACCCAGAACCCCGCCAGTCCATCACCCAGAACCCCCCCGCCCCGTCCCCACATCACCCAGAACCACCCCGCCAGTCACACTCACCCAGAACACCCCCCGCCCACCCCCACTTCACCCAGACTCCCCCCCTGCCCGCCCCATCACCCCAGAACCCCCCGTCCGCCCCCATCACCCAGAACTCCCCCGCCAGAAATCCCCCCATCACCCAAGAAGCCCCCCGCCGTCCCCATCACCCAGAAGCCCCGCCGTCCCCATCACCCAGAAGCCCCCCCCGCCCGCCCCCATCACCCAGAACTCCCCCCGCCCGCCCCATCACCCAGAACTCCCCCCGCCCGTCCCCATCACCCAAGAGGGAAACCCCACCGCCCGTCCCCATCACCCCAGAACCCCCCGCCGCCCCGCCACCCAGAAACCCCCGCCCGTCCCCATCACCCAGAAACCCCCGCCGTCCCCATCACCAGAACACCCCCGCCCGTCCCCATCACCCAGAACACCCCCCGCCCGTCCCCATCACCCAGAACCCACCTGCCCTTCCCCATCACCCAGAAACCCCCCGCCGTCCCCATCACCCAGAAACGCCCCCCACTTGTCCCCATCACCCAGAACCCACACCCCCCCCGCCCGTCCCCATCACCCAGAACGCCCCCCCGCCCGTCCCCATCACCCAGAACCCACCCTGCCCGTCCCCATCACCCAGAACTCCCCTGCCCGTCCCCAGCAGTTTGCCCCCTTCGCCCAGGGACTCTTCCCTAAGCCCCTCTGACATCGTCTTTGCTAAAGTCACACTGGCCTCTGATGGCCACTCCGGAGGCTTTGCTGTCTTTCTCTTTCTTGACCCCCACCTTTGGCCATTCCCCCATGCCAGGCAGTCCCGGGTATCTCAGCTACGCTTCCCCCTCGTCTGTGACCCTGGCTCCTTTGCCATTCTCACAGGACCCACCTGCCCTGTGAATGAATCTTCCCTGGCCCTCTCCTCTCCTCTCTCCCATAGTCTCCCACTCCTGTGACACTGACCATGTCCTCTCCCTGCCTCCAGCCACATCCTCCCCACTGGGTCCCCGAGGTTGGACATTGCCTTGCTGAAGCCAGCATCTCCCCCAGCTTTCTTCCCTGGGCTTCCCCATCGCAGGGAGGAGGCATCTAGCCACCTGCTTCCCCGAGTAGACACCTGGCTCCATCCTCGATCCCTTCCCTGCCCACGCCAAGTCCCCGTAAGCCTTCTCCGCCATGGCTTGGACCCGTGCACTCTTCTCTGTTCTCACCGCCGTGGCCTCCTGCAGCTCTCATCACCCCCGACGCCATGCCCCCACCTCCAGCCTCACCATGGATGTCCAGGGCCCTCCAGTTTCTGAGCCTTCACTCTTACGTCTTCCTGCACCCAGAACATCTCCTCTACCTGGACTCCCACCCCAAGATCATTACCCTTTGTCCTTCAAGCCCAGCTCAAGCATCTCCTCCAAAAACATCTCTAACTGTTTTGTCCAAGAGGTGTCGCCGGGCACTAAGCAGAGGCAGCCCCCAGGCATGTAAATGCAGGGAACAGCGAATGAGTGAATGCCCCGCCCCTAAGCAACTTCACAAGGTGGGCGTGGGGACGAAGCCAGGCCAGCTCACCACCAGGAGGACCCCAGGCTGACTGGACCCAAGAGGAGGCAGTGGCAGGTTTCTCCAGGCCTCAGACTCGACTCCCTGGAGCTGGGCACAGGCTTTCTGCCTCCTCGTTCCACTGGGTTTGCAGGGTCGAGTTCCTTACACAGAGGCCCTCCAGACACACTCCTTAGCGCTCACCGGCAGGAAGCACCCTTCGTGTCTCTCTCTGCCTTGAGTTCTGGAAGCTGAAGCCTGTTTTGCATTCAGTAGCTGGAGCTCCCTTTAGCTTCTGTGTGTAATCTCCCCAGACCCTGCCAAATACACACTTTATTACTCCGTTCTTATTTTCACCCTCGTAAAAGGTTTTATTGCCTTTTATTATAAGTTCCTGACGTGATTTTTGGAAGGAGATGAGGAACACAGAGTCACTTTTTTAGGGCAAAGTATGATATTATTCGGCTTACTTCAAACTCCATTTAACTTATGACTCAACTTTAAAACAACCTCAAAGTCAAGGAAAGACAGACTCACTGGGCCCCTGGCCCTGTGCTGGGCTCTTTCAAGTCCTTTATCTCGTGCAATCCTCAGAGCACTGCAGGATAAGAATATGTTATTATACCTACTTGCTGATGAGGAAACTGAGGCTCCAAGGGGTACAGTACCTTGCCAGAGGCCAGCTGCTGGCCAAGGGGTGGGCGGGATCCCTCCCCGTCGTTGTTTTTCCTCTGTGGTGTCCCGATCGTCTGCCTATCCAAAAACAGTGAGCTGCACAGAACAGATGTGCCTCTCTGATTAGCCTGGCTGGGCCTTGAGTTTATTTCTAGATAGTTACACACCTATGCACATCCTGGCTTTCTTGCCTTCCCCTGTATAAAGAGGCCTTTTTCCTGTGTCCCTTGGGAGAAAGGCTTTTTTTTTTTTTTTTTTTTGGAGACAGAGTCGCTGGGTCACTCAGGCTGGAGTGCAGTGGCACAATCTCAGCTCACAGCAGCCTCTGCTTCCCAGATCCAAGTGATTCTCATGCCTCAGCCACCTGAGTAGCTGGATTACAGGCATGCGTCACCATGCCTGGCTAATTTTTATATTTTTAGTAGAGATGGCGGGATTTCACCATGTTGGCCAGGCGGGTCTCGAACTCCTGGCCTTAGGTGATCCGCCCGCCTTGGCCTTCCAAAGTGCTGGGATTGTAGGCATGAGCCCCCGCACCCGCAGAGAAAGGCTGTTTTTGTCAGGTAGGGCAGTGCCTGGCTGGGATGCCTTCCTGAGGCTGCTGCAGACCTGCAGATAGGGTGATCCTGCCTGCCTTCAGGGCAGGGGCCTCCCTAGCTCCGAGTAGGAGCTCCACAGTCCTGCAGTGTTTCTATGTCTCTATCTGAAATGGAATGGATTTCCCACCTTTCCCTGGCTGGCTTCTTAGCTGGAGAATCCCAGAACTGCGCCTGCACTCTGGGGTCCCCTTTCTTTCTAAGGGCCTTGGGCAGGATCCTCTCTCCTCCCAGACCCTCCTATCCTCAAGAGTGTCCGTCACTCTCCGCTACTCCCACAGCCCTAGATACCTCCCTCCATCTCAGCGCTTCCCACACCTGGGGCGGTGGCCTGGTCTGCAGAGTTATCCTGCTTCTCCACCGAAGCATGGGCTCCTCAGGGCAGGGGCTGGGCTAGGCCCGCACTCAGGAGATGGTCCATAAATGCTTATTGATGGGAAGGAGGAGAGAAGGGAGAGAGAAAGAGGGCCTTGCGGACAAATGAAGAACACAGTTAGGAGACTGCTTGGCCAGTGCCTACACAAACCTACAGAGACAAATGGAGGCACTGCCAGCTCTCCACAGCTGCTAGCCTTGCATTGGCGCTTTCCATGCTAGGGTCTTTTATCTGCCCTGTCCCCAAGAAACTCTTTCTAAAAATCCAGTGGAAGAAGCACTTCTGGAATGGTGAAGTGAGGAACTCTGAAGATCTCCTCCATAAAGGAGCAAAAACAATGGAGAAGACTGACCTTTTCAGAACTCTGGAAACGAACAAAAGTTTTGCAGCAGCCCAAGAAATGTTTATTCAGGAAATATCTGAATCTTACTATTAATAACGACAGTGAGATTTGTAGCATTTTAATGTTCTCTCTCAAGCTCCACAGTAGCCTTCAAAAACAGCTTTAAAAACTGTGCATGGTG